TTGTGCTTTTGGTGCTGCTTCTGCTAACGGTGTTGGTGTGGAGCACCGTATTGGAATTGGGTTATTGGATATCCGTCGTTTCTGTGTGAGGTCTCTTGTCTGTGGGACAAATATCAGTGTCTTGCTGTTCGTGGACGACTGTGTGCAGTTTGCGCACAGCGCAGATGAATTCCACCACACAACCAGTGCTAGGGCTACGACAGCAGCTTAATTTTGGCTCACCACAAACACAAGCAGAACTGTCTGGCGAATTCAGCATTTACCGGAGATCCAAAAAACACTGCTGCCGCAAATCAGCATTGGTGCTGCAGTGTTCGAAACAACCGCGCGCTTCTGCTAACATTGGTGTAGGGTTTCGACTCACTTGCAAATACACATCAGCTGATTTGAATGTTTCGTAATACTGGTAGGTCAGCTTCATGAATAAACTGTTCACTGGCTTTCCGACGTCGGCGATTTCGCTGCAAACGTTTCACCATCATTCTAGGTGGCATCCTCATTAGAGTGAGATGCCGCGTACAATCTTACTGAATGAATCGTCCATCCGTGATTGACCTGAAGGTGACTTTTGAAAGTGGCAGTCTTGATTTGCCTCCCGTGGCCTCTACCCACATTCCCCACGACTAAAGTAGGCGTCCCAGTTGCTCTGCCTTAAACCGGGTGAAAAAATGTTCATCATTTCTTGTTGTCGAAGTGGTTGGTATATTGAATCTATGTCGAAGCGTAGGTTGATTGAGCTTTTGGTTGCGAACCAAGCTTCCAGGAATTCCCCTTCTTTTATTGTTCCATCCTTTGCCAAGACTTCTGTTTTGCTCCAATCGAAGCTACGTCCTGCTTCATCTAAGTGCAATGAAACTAGCGAGGATACATAATGCTCTACACATGCTCTTTTATGTTCTTGTATCCTTGTTGCCAGTCTTCTTCCCGTCTGGCCAACATTAACACTTTCGCAATCTCGGCAACGTATTTTGTATACCGCATTGCGTTGTTCATGCGGTTGCAGTTTATTTTTGGTTTTGACAGAGATTTGCTCAATGTGGCAGTTAGTTTTGTACTACGATGAGATGATGCTGTTTGAATAGTCTGGCTGCCATTTCCGGTATGTTCTTCATATAATGCAGAACAACGCATCTATCCGTTGTTGTTGTTGTTGCTGCTGCTGCTGCTGCTGCTGTTGCTGCTGCTTTTTTGTTGTTATCGTAGGCAGTCTGTTTAGGTTGTTGTCATTTAGACACCTTCGGATGAATCTTCGTGGGTCTCCATTGAATTTGCAACATTTAAATAGGTGCTTTTCTTCATTTTGCTTTGCTTCTGTGGTACTGCAGTGTGTTTGCACACTGCTGTGTCGGCACACAGCTTAATTTGTGGCACTTCGGGTGGTTGCTGTCAAAGTTCAGAATTTGGTCTGTGTGTGTCTTTTCTGTAGACCGATGTTTGCAGCTCGCCTTCCATGGCTCTTGTTACTGATACGTCCAAGAAAGGGAGCTGCCTTTCATTCTCCTGTTTTAGTGTAAACTGGATGCCTTCCATGGCGTTATTCAATAGCTGTTGTGCGAATGTTATTTGGTTGCGTCTGATTATCAGAAATGTTTTGTCCACATACCGAACCCACAGTTTCGGATTGATGAGTGGCAATACATTCCCTCCAATTTCTACATAACCCTCTTTGCGATGAGTGCTGGCACAAGTGATTCCATTGGTGCGCCTTACAATTGCTCATAAATCTTTCCATTGAATGCGAAGTAGGTCGAAGGACACAAGTGATGTAGTTTGCATACATTTTCGGTCGTCATTTTTCCGATTTGTTGTTCACTGTCATCCAGCCTGCCAGATGACAAGGGACGGATGACTCTCGTAATGGATGGGAAGGATTACATTGAGAAAGCTACACGCCACTTTAATGACTTAATAACCTAAAGGTGCATCGACACCAATGCAACTTCTCAGCTGACAAGCAAAGTAAACAAAACTTTGAAGAAACTTCAGCAATTGAAGCAAATCACGAAAAAAGGTCGCAATAGCATGAGAACCCGGAACTCGAACATCGCGCAATTCTACGGACTCCCAAAGGTGCACACAGATGATGCACTGTTGCGGCCCATCGTCTCCCTCCCGGGAACACCCACCTACAATCTGGCAAAAAAATATGGAGACGCCTCAAACATTTGACCTGTGGATCACAATATTCTATAAGAAATGCAAAGCAGTTTCCGCAAGAGATCAAACACCTGCGCCTAGATAATGAGGAAACAAGGATATCATTCCATGTAACTGCGCTGTTAACGTCTGTTAACTTGCAGATAGCAATAGAGGTCATTACAGAACGGCTGGATGACAGTGAACAACAAATCGGAAAAATGACGACCGAAAATGTATGCAAACTACATCACTTGTGTCCTTCGACCTACTTCGCATTCAATGGAAAGATTTATGAGCAATTGTAAGGCGCACCAATGGAATCACTTATGTCAGCACTCATCGCAGAGAGGGTTATGCAGAAATTGTAGGGAATGTATTGCCACTCATCAATCCGAAACTGTGGGTTCGGTATGTGGACAAAACATTTCTGATAATTAGACGCAACCAAATAACATTCGCACAACAGCTATTGAATAACGCCATGGAAGGCATCCAGTTTACACTAAAACAGGAGAATGAAAGGCAGCTCCCTTTCTTGGACGTATCAGTAACAAGAGCCATGGAAGGCGAGCTGCAAACATCGGTCTACAGAAAAGACACACACAGACCAAATTCTGAACTTTAACAGCAACCACCCGAAGTGCCACAAATTAAGCTGTGTGCCGACAAAGCAGTGTGCAAACACACTGCAGTACCACAGAAGCAAAGCAAAATGAAGAAAAGCACCTACTTAAATGTTTCAAATTCAATGGAGACCCACGAAGATTCATCCGAAGGTGTCTAACTGACAACAACCTAAACAGACTGCCTACAATAACAACAAAAAAGCAGCAACAGCAGCAGCAGCAGCAGCAACAACAACAACAACGGATAGATGCGTTGTTCTGCATTATATGAAGAACATACCGGAAATGGCAGCCAGACTATTCAAACAGCATCATCTCATAGTAGTACAAAACTAACTGCCACATTGAGCAAATCTCTGTCAAAACCAAAAATAAACTGCAACCGCATGAACAACGCAATGCGGTATACAAAATACGTTGCCGAGATTGCGAAAGTGTTAATGTTGGCCAGACGGGAAGAAGACTGGCAACAAGGATACAAGAACATAAAAGAGCATGTGCAGAGCATTACGTATCCTCGCTAGTTTCATTGTACTTAGATGAAGCAGGACGTAGCTTCGATTGGAGCAAAACAGAAGTCCTGGCATAGGATGGAACAATAAAAGAAGGGGAATTCCTGGAAGCTTGGTTCGCAACCAAAAGCTCAATCAACCTACGCTTCGACATAGATTCAATATACCAACCACTTCGACAACAAGAAATGATGAACATTTTTTCACCGGTTTAAGGCAGAGCAACTGGGACGCCTACTTTAGTCGTGGGGAATGTGGGTAGAGGCCACGGGAGGCAAATCAAGACTGCCACTTTCAAAAGTCACCTTCAGGTCAATCACGGATGGACGATTCATTCAGTAAGATTGTACGCGGCATCTCACTCTAATGAGGATGCCACCTAGAATGATGGTGAAACGTTTGCAGCGAAATCGCTAAGCTCGGAAATCAAATGTGCAATTGAACACAATGTTCTGTTTTTCCGCGTGTGATGCACAGCCTATCCTTCGCGAAGATTGAGCACTGAATTTGGAACAACTACCATCTTTCTGTTAATAAAATGTGTTGGTGTACAAATCCATGGTGCTGTCCGTTCTCCTATGCTGCAAGGTATGATGGACGAATGTACCGGCGAGACATGTCTTGAGCGGGTTTCATTAACAGTGGTAGGCGGTCCGTCAGATGTACGGGAGCGTTCGGAGAGACCGATTTTTTGTCGCCACAGATTGTTTGTTGTATTATTGCCAGAAACAGGAGGATTTTTTCTTTTTTTATTATTGCGGCAGGAGACAGAGGTTGTTGGCGGGGTTTGTCTGTTTGCGACCCCGGAGGAGTGCGCGTGTTGGTTGGGTGGTGTCTGGGTTTGGGATGTGTGTGGTGGGGGGGCGGGGTTTCTTGTTTTTTACCCACATGTTCTTTTTGTAAGTTGCTTGTGTGTGGTATGGTTTTGTTATGGTTGTGAAGTTAATTAGAGGCGGGGATGCATTACTTTTCGGGGACGCCTTTTTAAGGGTGGCTCTGTCAGTCGGATCGCCATAGTATCGTTGGCTCTCTGGTTTTGCATTCTCGCGGGATACGCCCCCCGCGCGCCCCCCCCCCCGGCCCCGATCGGGAACCCCCGCCGAAGTACACCCGTCCGGCCGGAAGTAGGCTGTTAATATTATATTGATTTTTTTTTTTTTTTTCGTTTTTTTTTTGTTTGGTTTGTTCGAGTCAGCTGAGTGGTGTGGGGGGAAAGGGGAAAAAGGTAGGGCGGAAGAAGCGAAGCGTTATTTGGGGAATCCCGAAAAAACTTCGATATGTTTTTTGAATGATCAAATCGGAATACGATTGTCTGGATGAATGATGTGATTATTATTTATGTTTATTTAGTTTCAAGAGGGGGTTTGGAAAAATCGAGGTTGGGTGCTTACGGGTGTTTAATTTACGTGCCATTGTTGGTTTCCGGGGGGATGCTTGAACACGAAATGCAGTTTTGATGATGCCCTAGGTTTGTTCTGCAAGAGGGATAGCCCTCGTTAGTGCGATGGGAGAAGACAGAGAGAGAAAGTCGGAAGCGGCTGAATCGTTGTTGTTGCGGGGGGGGCCGGGGAAAGTGGGGAGAAAGCTTCGCCAACAGGCAGAAAGCGGCGACAGGCGCCCCAAATGGATGGGTCTTGAATACCTTCGCCATCGATTCCAGCGCATCGGTGTTTGTTGTCTTTCGGCAAAGGGAAATGCGATTTTGCGTATTACCCTGAGTCACGTTTGGGGCTTTGTTTTTGATCCTTCGTTGAGGGTGCGACGGCGCGGTCCAGGGCTGGGGAGACCAACCATTTCGAAAGACGTAAGGACACATGTGTTTTGGTTGAGGAAGGTAAGCCAGAGAAACCGATGTGAATGTGTGGATAGGTACGCTGCATTTTCGATATTTTATTATCTGCGTTGTGCATTTTGTTGGCTGGAGTTTATCTTTTATGTTTTTCAGAGTGTGTGTGGATTTAGTTGTCTTTATTAATATACCACTAGTGTTATTGTCAGTGATATATAATTTATATAGATGCCATTTTTTTTTTTCCGTCATCTTATTCTTTGCTGAAATTTATTTTATATTTTAAGTGTTTTGGATTGTCGTTTTAAACACAAAAAGAGTGATTTTTTGAATATGATGGTGGGATTTTTTGTAAAGCGCACAAGAACGATAAGGTTTGTATCCATGTCGCCGAAGCAGTCAGCTGGGATGCTGCCCCCAAAATCGATCAATGGAGGCCTTGTGGTAGTTTCTGTCGTTTTATAGTTTTTCGGAAGCCTTCGTAGACCGGCCCCACCGCCCCCCGCCATAGTGGTTGTGGGACGCGCCTGCTTGTTAGGGTGTAGGTTTGCGTTTGTTCTTCTTTATTGTGGCTACACTGTGGCTTAGTGTTAGTTAGTAGAGGGGTTGTTTTGGTTAACTTTTGGTACTCTGCCCCCTTTTTTTCTTTTTCTCCCAAGCCCCTTTTTCCTCTTTGTTCCTCAAAGGGGAGGAGAGAAGAATTCTTCATATTAGTGAGTTTTATGCAAGATGACCCATATTAGTATTTTTTTACTTCGAGTTTTGGCTTGCTTTTTGTTGGCGTAGGGATTATCTTTCATCCCTGTGAAGGTTGCTTTATCAAAATAATTCGTTTTTTTGTCCACTTTGAAGGGCCGTTGAGAAGGTTTTGTTTTTTGTGTGTTTGAGGTTTTTTTAAATAAATTTGTGATGAAAAAAAAAAACAAAAAAAAAACCGTCAACAAAATAATAAAAATTAAACAACACGAAACAAAAATATAAAGGACAAAATACAAAGAAAAAAACAAAAAAGTAAGAAAACAAACTAAAAATAAACACCAAAAAAACATAAAAAAAATAAATAGAGAATTCTGCATTTGTGCATTTTATCTGTTCTAATTTTTACGCAGACGAATCGGCGGGGAAATTTTTTTTTTTTATCGCGGATTTGGTTGAATACCCCATTTAATTTCACTATAATATTTTTTAACGAAAGAAGGTTATGTCGACATCCTCTGTATTTTTTATTCGTCATTTTTTTTTTTGACTTGATTATTGTCATTTCATGGGTGTTAATTGACTGTTCGGTTTGACAACCGACGGCTTGGATTGCCTGTTTTTTTCTTTTTGACCACTTGCGTTTAATTTGTAATTTTTGATATTTGACTGGTTGACGAGGTGCCTACAAGGCTAAGATTCCTCCACCTCGATTAAAAAGACTAAGTCTCCAGGAAAACTGTGATGAATTTCGTCTTTTGGGTGACGGGTGTGCCGCTGGTCCTCATGCACTGCTAGGAATTAAAATTTAAAGAGGAGTTTCCATTTCAAGTGTGGAAGCGGGGGGAACTACGGGCTAAGCCCATGCCACTCCTTGTGTATGTCTGGGAATGTATTTTGTGGTATCCGTAGCCCACTTAGGTATGAAATGTTTTTTCTGTCTGCCTTGTTGGGAAGGGTAGTGGGCCGGGTGGCTCCTTTTGAATGGGGAAAACACGCGTGGGACTACTCCCGTCCACAAGCCTCTCGATTTATTATTTAGGGTTTAACCGTATCTGGCTGTGCGTGGATGGAGCTTTGTCTTTGTGACCCTTTGGCTTGCTGGCTGTAGTGCAGCGAAGCCACCCGTGTGGTCCTCTGTCGGCTGCAAATATTTCAGTGGATTGTCTTCGTTAAGGAGGCTGCATTTTTTTAGGAAATCTTGAAAGGATGCCGGCTGTTGCCTTTTATTCGTAGTTGTTCCGTGTTTCAGTGGGCGCAGGGGGGGAGAGAAGGAGATAGAGATACTGGGCCTGTTTTTTGTAAAGCAAACGGAGCTTCACAAGAAGTAAAAGTCTAGGCCTCTTTATGAACTGGTAGGGGACAAGTTTGCATAAATTTACTCACATGTCTTGTGTGTCCAGGACGGCC